GGTCAATTAACTTTCAAACAAAAACCCAACTCATCTCTAAGTTCCATGCTCCAGAACCGTGAAGAGGGCAAAACTAAACAGCAAACCATCACTTCTTCAGTATGCAAACATTCACATGACAAGCACAAACACATTATCACTTTGTCACCACAAGTCCCACTTCTGTACCTTTTTTATATATATATATATATATATATATATATAAACCTCGGTTTAATTCATTTATATAAAACTTTGCTAGACGACCATTTTCATCCCGCATATGACTGTCCTGTCCAAATCATCACAGCATGAGAACTGCTTTCCTCAGTGGACATCATTGTTCCAGAATGAACACAACACACAATGAAAATAGACAAAATGCACAGTCTCGCATTGTAAAGGTACTTTAAGGCGTCTTTGTTAGGAGAAGCAGATTTCCCTTCATGAGGTTAATCATCAATGTCCCCAAAATCCTACGACCATAACGCTGACTGGAACCTTCATTCCATCTTCAGTATTAAGTATTATTCCCTAGCTCCAACCCACCCAGGCCTTAAACAAACGACTAAATGTGTGTCCTTTACATCACTCAGCTTCTGAAGCTTTTTTTTTTTTGTGTTGTGCTGTCACTATCGCATATTCTACGTATTAACTGAACCCTCGTTACATACACTCTCAAAACAATGGATCAAAAAGAGAGCAACCCCTTTTGGGGCGTTATCCATTTAACCCAAAATGTTGGGTCAAAATGAATCCCCCCACAATAAAATCAACCCCCAAAATTGGTTTGTTTCGTACAAATCCCCACAAATTTAGGCGTTTTATCCAAACAATTCATTTGACCCAACTTTTTAAAAACAAGAGTTGTGTCAGTCACTTTTATTTTCGTTTGTTTTTTTTTAACCATAATTGGGTTATTTTTAACCCAATATTTTTCAGTGTGTAGTCATTGTGTTGAAACAAATGTTTTTATGAATGAATTTTTCACCTACAAAATGAATAGCGCTTGTTATTTGAACCACTCTCTGAGGGTAAACACAAATAAACAATCTATCAAGGTACTGCAAATCACAGTAGGTCAGAAGACCAAAGCAGCTCTCATTTGGGACGGGTCATGTCTAACATCATCATCTCAAAATGTAATTCGAAACGGATTATTATACAGTGTGTGGCACATTTATTAGTGGTCTGCTCTTTTTGCGCGCATTTGTTACTTCTTTCTTCTCAGCCATCAAAATTTGTAGCTGAACACAAATGCGGGTAATCAATACACTTGATTGCTATACAGTATAAGCTCTATGAGGTTCGTCTTGAGCCAGATAGTAAAAGAAAAACCCCAAAGAAAAATTGGCTTATGACATACTTTGGAAGTAGCCGAGTCGTTTTTCGGGTTTTCCGGGAAGCAACGCATGCAGTGCAATCTACGCGGATGACACCAAGATGTGTCAGTTCCAAGCATGAACCCCGTGAAGCACAGATTTAACCCTGTCATCTCCCTCAAAAGACAAAGACAAAAAAAAATAGATATATTCAAAAAGCAGCAGCTAACTAACAACACCAAGGCTCTACATTGAGTTCATGATGATATCTCATCCTTAAGAGGTTGCACGAAGACTCTTTCTGAAGAATAAATATTAGTGGCTGTGACTGTCACATTATCGGCTGCTAAATTTACTCTGACTCTTATTTAACGCGATTATTATCATTTGCACTGGTTTTACACAAAATGGGGAAATTCTATCACGTCAAATCCAAAGAAAAGTCATGTTAAAGAGCAGCTTATCAGATTCTTACAGTTTTGGATCGTTGGTTGTCAAGGCATGAATAGAAAGAATCCCACTACATTAACTGATTACAAAGCAGCAGAACAAAAAAAAAGTGCAGCTTTTATTTAAAGTGCTTTTTTTTTTTCCAAAGAACATATTTGGAATTCAAGCGACAGATTCCAAGGCAATTTTCAAAAAATTAATCTTCTGATCTGTCGAGAATAAACACAGAACAGTTAGCGCTAATCAGTGGCGAAAGCAAGATTTCCAGCTTGCTTTTTGAGCCAAATTCAGCAGTCTGTGAAACAATTTCAACAAATTCGTTCATGGAATCAGTAAACCGCAATCAGTAATTTCCTAATAAATTGTGCTTAGAGGTACACCTTCTACATTTCCACTTGTATGAAAATAAATCAATTCACCATATAATTGCTCTTAACGCTCTACAAGACGGAACAAACACAGCAAACCCATCAAAAAGTGCTTCCACCTCATGGGTTCACAAGAACTGACTAACCACTGATTCATCTTTTAAACACAAGTCTTGATGAACAGTTGACTCATTTGTTGTTCTTCTTCCACCAAGACCATATTATTTCATCTCTTCACTAAACTGCGAAGTACAAACATCAAGAAAACAGAAGATGACAGACAGTACAGACAAGACAGACGGTCTGATGTCTTATCAAGGCCTGGTTAAAACTAAAAATGTCTGAATAGTTTCTGATCAGACAGTAGAGGACATTTCAACCTTGGCTGGGCTCTGCGTGAGTGTAATTACAATAGCAAAGATGCTTACACACTTAAAAGTGCGGAGTCAAAAGTAACTCAAATTAGGTAAAATGACCAACCCAGAGCTGAGTCCAAAAGGGACCGAACCACTGCTAAGTTATTTATACCCAGCAGATTGGGTTGAAAATTTGGGCCAGCACTTTGGATTGAACTTTTGAGAAAGCATTGGGTGAACAACGACCGATGCTGATGAGTTAAAGTTACCAAGAAATGGGTTGCCATGTTATCAGTGGTTATAAATTACAAACTAAAAGCATTTGGGTCAAAAATAACCCAATTTAGGTTAAAAATGGACTAACCCACTATTTCAATTTGATTCAACTTTCTGGGTTGTTTTGTACAAATGACACTATTTTAGGAGTTATTGGGGTTATTTTAAATATATACAAAAACAAGTCATATTTGGGGGTTGTTTGTGTAAAGCAATCCAGAAAGTTGGGTGAAATTGACCCAAGGATTGGATTGTCCATTTTTCACCCACATTGGGTTATTTTTGACCCAACTGTTTTTTTTTTTTTTTTGGTGTCGCAACATTTTCTGAGAGGAAGAAGCAACTTGCATCTGTCATAGGTCACCACAGCAAGTCACTTGCATCATACACTCTTAAAACTGCTTGCTCAAATAACCCAAATTGGTTGAGCTTGTTATAACCCAACATCGAAGTCCAAAAGACACCAAACCAATGGTGTGTTTTATTATTCCCAGTGCATTGGGATGAGGATTTGACCCAGCACTTTGGGTCAAGATTTTGATTAAACAAAACAACAACTATGCATATTAATGAGTTAAAGCTATCAAGGAATTGGTTACCAGGTTATTAATATATCTATCCATCCATGATCTGTACCGCTTTATCTCGGAGCCCTATTCCAGCTGACTTTGGGCAGTACAGCCTGAACTGGTTGGCAGCCGATTGCAGGGCACACATGGACCGAACAACCATTCATTCCTTCACATTCACAATCACACCTCAGGACAAGTTAGAGTGATAGATTATTTGGTGTGGTTACAACAGTAATCATTTTATGGCCAACATTTTCTATTTGAAGCCAAGTCCCTGTGTCTAAAGTCAACAGTGGTCCCCTCCAAGACACCCAGCAAATAAAGTAAAATGTTTTCTAAACATGTTACGTTAACCCTTTCAGGAACTGCGGTTACTACAGTGGACAGCTAATCAATTTATCAGGTTGCAGGGTGCGCAAAAGGGTTCCATTTACTTCAAATTCAGAATGCAAAAAAAAAAAAGGGCCATCAGCCTCAGTTTTTCGGCACGCCCCAATCCAATCTTCAACCCAATCTGCTGGGTCAAAATAATGAACCCAACCTTGGTTAAAAGTAACCCACTCTGCTCAAAATCCTCAACTACCCAGCGAGTTGTATGTGTAAAAGACTGCGTGATGATCGGATATTCGACATGGTTGTGAGAAATATCAATTAATGCATGCGTCATTTGTATTACCGTAATATATGTTTTACGCTATTGCAACCTTTGGTCAGTTAAGCAATAAAGAATTATCGGTACATTAATCGTGGTTTACAGGTTCATATGAGCATAGAGATTGAATACAGGAATAAATCAGAATTAGGACGTTAGTCTTTCGTCTTGACCCCTCGTCCACGTAGCTCATACACAATCTACCAAGTGCTCAATGTACAGCAAACTGCTATCCGAGTTCTAATCAAAAGCAGCATTTCAGAAGATTTTTGGAAGAAAAAGAAGACACCAACATATTTATATATACACAAGTGATAACCTTTCTTTCAGTCGACCATAGTGATATAGATTTAAAACATAGAATTTTGGATAGGGCCAAGACATATGGAAGGTATGACGTCCCATGGGAGCAGGATATTGAGCCCTTTCGATGCTCTCACTTTTGTTCAGCAAACCAGCGCGCACTGAGGTGCTGAACGAGTCTGGTTTTACCTTCACTTCTATTTTTCTCATGTTCACGCGATTGACCTGAGCTATCCTCCATGGGGCCCATCTACATATCGAAACCAGAAGAGGGTGAAAAATATATAGCACCATGCGTTTTTGTTCATATTTCAAGTATTTTTAAACTGAATTCCATTGTTCTAAACATCCAGCGGCTTGAAAATATGAAATGAGGAAATTACCCTTCTGTCATTTTATTCCTGAAAATGTCAAGTGTCAAACTCTTGGGAGCGCGTGGGAAATGAAATAGAATTCTCCTTTTCTTTTGAGTGTCCAAAATAGTTTTCAAGGCATCAGTGACAGTTGTGGGGCTCAACTGGGCAGAAAAACAAAATATTAAATTTAAACATAATAATTTGGTCCATTTATGATATTTTTATGTTTGAATGACTATTCAGGTACTGATGTCCTTGTGGCTTCTCGGCCGGCCGGGAATTAGTCCCTCCGATCATAAAGTACTTAGAGCAGCATGTAATAAAATCAGAAAAGGAGATTCTCTCATACACAAATAGGCCTACATGTAAACATGCCACTTTTATTCATTTTGATCTTTCTGTGACAATTGTGTGTGCGTGTGGGATGGTAAAATGTCTGCATGAAAAATAGTATGAGCTGTTTAACCCTTTCAGGGACAGCGGCTACAGTGGACAGCTTATCACGTTATCGGGTTACAGGGTGCATGAAAGGGTTAAAGGAATGATTTTTAAATGTTCACAACCACTGCTGAGCCAGTTTCTAAATCGATTGTCTGTGATGAACGAAGAATGTGAGCGTGACGCTTAGGTGAAATTCCTTTTAAACAATAGCAACAATGGTTAACCTCTGCTACAAGCGCAAACAGAGCAGTTTGCAATTCTATTTTCTTGTTGTTTGGATGGTGAACAAATTAGATAGAATATGAAAAAAAACTGGTGTGTTATTTACAAAAGACAGATGAAAGGTTCACGCTCACTCGACATTTCTAGCAATGAAACACAGATGACGGTGTCCTACAGAATGCAACAGGAGACGGTGGTCCCTTCAGGCACTCACTACGATTGATGTTGAGAGCAAGCTGTTCAATACAGTGAGACCAAAAAGTGGTCTCATATCCATTAAAAGGGGGAAGAAAAAAAAGCAGCCCAGACAACAGATACGTACGTTTGTGTGAATTTTTGCCATTGTAGCAGCCAGTAGCTTTGTATAATTATTTCTGACACACAAATTGGCTGTGACTTCTATCATCTCCAGCAATTAACCCCCCCCCAAACCTCTGTCATTCACCTATTATAATCTTAAGGATTATTTGATCATGGGAAAAATAAAAAATTGAAAAATTAATAGTTTTTTTTGAGGGGGGTGGGTGAAGACTATTCTAATGATACGGGAGAAGATCTCTGATGAATCACAATGCATCACTTGCTCATGGTAAGTTCAATTTGTTTGTGAAAAGACTTCTAAATGATATAAAGTATCACATAATTCGCTACACTGGGGGTATAGTACAAGTTAGATCAATTCTTTTGTAGTTATAGGTTTTTAATTCATTCTGTTAAAAATATTTCTCAAAGTGCTTGTGTTGGATTGCAGGGTGAATGTTCATGTACTGCACCGCTCAGTCAGCCCGTAAACTGTCGCTTGCCTTCATGCTGACAATAGCCATGTGGCAAAAGAAAGCGAGGGGATCTGTTGGTGCACAACATACGTTAATAACAATAAACACCTCAGGTCTTGACTGACAGGTTGCCAGCCCCAAAATGTGTGTGAAAATCGCTACATTTTATAAACTGCAGGATGTTTTATGTGATATTTTATATCTATATAAATATTAATTGCATCATACTTTCTTGAAATTACCTGTAGCATATCGAATCGAATTGTAATTCCACTGAGTCGAACCGAATTGAATAGTTCCACTTTAAAATTGAACCTTTTTTAAATAGTCTATTATTGGAAAGATGCACACACCAAAAATGTGAATGTGTGTGTGTGTGTGTGTGTGTGTGTGTGTGTGCGCGCGCGCATCTTTGAGTTACGGTGTTACTGAAATAAATTACCTCTGCTTCTGAGATTGTGCATCATTAATCCATCTATGATGGCCACATGCAATTCATGTCAGCAACAATAACATTCTGCATGTGAAAAGTTGCAACCATATGTCACATCACACACCTGTGATTCTCTTTGGAAACCTGCATCAGGAGCAAAGTGGCCTCCTTGCACGCCACGAACCCATATTGACTGTCTGAAACATTAGCAAGTATATCACATTTGTAAGATATGAGATGTAGGGACAATAAGAAGCTTGTTGTCCCACATGGGACCCCTAAAACAAGTCAACCATCATTTAACATTTTCCTTTTTGATCAATGATAAATATCAGTCCTTTTATAAATGGTATATCTATCTCTTCATACAATTTCTTGATCTGCACAAAACTATTATACATTTTGGACAGAGAGAGAGAGAGAGAGAGAGAGAGAGAGAGAGAGAGAGAGAGAGAGAGAGAGAGAGAGATCGTTTCTTAGCACGTCTTTTACACATTGCCACAGTTCCACCATTTTATAGTTTTTTAGTGCATTTCAAGTAGTATTCGATTTAGAAGAAGAGGGTGGTGGTGTTAAAGCGGATTTTGAGGAGATGTGTTGATTTTGACTTGGGGGCTTTATATTTCTGATTTATAAGCGCTAAAATTCAATAGACTTGTCTTTTCGGGGGGCACACACACACACACACACACACACCCCACAGTACAGACGTTACACAACTGCACGATTCTGAGCTTCCGTACGACTGCCAAGGTCGCTCAGTCCTGCTCCTCACTGTCCTGCCGAGCGTCAGTGCTCTTCTCTTTGTGACAATTAAAAATTCTCCGCATCTCCTCTTCGTAACGGATGAAATTCTCCCCGAATCTCGCCCAGGCTTTTAAAGGGACGGTGATGGTGTTTCTGTACGGCTGGCGCACTTCGCTGATTTTTAAAAAGACGCCATAGCGGTTGGAACCGACGTCAAAATAAAACCTCTTGTTGTCCACGCGAAAGGACGCGGCCTCTGGAAGCTCGGGGCTTTCGTCGTGGTTCCTGGTCGCGGCTCGACCGCGCTCGTCGCACTCGTCGTCGCCGTAGTCCTCGATGAGCTGCGACAGCGCGTCCCTGAACTCGATGAGACCCTGTGCGGGCAGCACGATGGTCTGTTCGATCCCCTGGCCGTAGTAGCCCATCGTGCCGTGCCCTTTGCTGACAGTCTGTCGTATGCGTAGGAACCTCCCTCTCTGGTTCTCCTTCAGGTCCAGAAAGTACTTTCGGTTGTCCCTCTCGATGAATTCGCTCTTGAGGACGCGATGCGCGTGGTCGTCTGACGCCGCAGAGCCAGTGGGCGACGACGCGGGCTCCTGCGCTCTCCTGCGGGGTTCAAGCGCGCGGCCCTGGTCGTTGCTGCCGTGCTCGTCGAGCTGCGGCGGCGGCTGGGGCGCGAGGCCCCCCCGCAATCCGATCCGGGCGTAATAGTCGATGAAATCCCCCAGGCAGTAGCGGAGCGCGGGCGCCATCGACATGGACAGAGTCAGTTTGCTCTTCCGGATGTTATCGTGGCGGCCTTTGCCGATCCACACCTCGGCGATTTTGAGGAAGCGTCCGCGCACGCTCTGCTTCACGTCCAGGTAGAAACGTTTCTTCTGGATATCGACCCGTTTGGAGGCGAGCTCCTGGATGTCGCTGCCCTGCTGCTGGGGGCCGGTCTGCACATATTGCTGAGGATAGGTGGCTCTCGGCAAAGAGTCTGACGCAATCTTACCCCGGACTCTCTCCATTCCTCTGCAACATCCATCGGCCAGCATGATTCAGATTCCACTTCTCGACAGCTCAGGAACACACGATTCCCCCATGCCCGTGCGCCTTCATTCCAACATCTGGCGAGCGTGGAGACAAGTTGGCCAGATGCCTCGAATGACCGAAAGATGGCAGCTAGTTTGGAGGCGTCAGCTGATCGTGTTGCCGTGTCCCGAATAAAGGTCAGGCTCGCTTATTTAGCCACTGCAATCCACCTTCGCTTTTGCATCACCTATATGAATTGCAGCAAGCTCATTCAGAGAGCGAGCCGGGGAAGCAGTCGACCTGAAATGGGAGGAGGCGCGCAATCTACTACATGAACCCGATGAACCCATCCACCCCCTCCCGTCCTGAGGATACCTCTGTTCAAGATTCACACAGTCACTGTGGGAAAGATGGAGCTCTTGCATCTGACATCATACAGACCTCTGTTGTGATTTAAAATAAGAATGCGGATATATGATAGCGGCTCAATGCAATAAATACTAAATCAAATCAAAAATAATCACCCTCCCATATGCGTTTCCCACGGAAAACGTGATTATCTTGATGTTGAAGCCTGCACTTTTATAAAACCAGTAACCATCATGATCACATATCTGTCGTCTGCTACTTTGTGTGATGGGGGGAGGGGAGGGGGGTACAGCAGAATGTTCCAAGTTATCCTTGACGGATTAAAATGAGTTCTATAAATTACATTGATTTTTTTGTGTGTAAATACATAAAGGAGGCTACATGATTGATTTCATGAGTCCAGAAAAATCCAGAATTTTCAAGAGATGCTGAATTAATTACGTTTTGTACACAAATTCCCATGACACATTCAGGAAACGTGCTGAATTAATTACGTTTTGTACACAAATTCCCATGACACATTCAGTAAACATGTATTTTTCTTTCATTTGTTAAACCTAAACCCTTTCAAGGACAACGGTTACTGCAGTGGACAGTTTATCAGCTTATCAGGTTATTATTATTGGTGCATGAAAGAGTTAAAATGCCTTAATGCAAGTAAGGCTTCCAACGCTTATGGTCTCATCACCATTCAGGTGCAAATCACGTAGCAAACATCCTGTCTGACTCATGATGAGCACATGATTTAAAAAAAAAAGAAAGGATTATAACTGTGTGAAGGCAGTGCCATTAACTCAATCAGACATTGCCTTCTGCCCAAACATCAACTTTTTTATTGAGTGCTGGGAAGTGCAAAACGTGCAAATACTTCATTACTGATTTTTTTTTTCAGGTATCTGTAGCCCACTCGAGTACCGAACAAAATAATTTTAAAATATTGGAAACAAATCTGGCTGCACAGGTTGAGTAGCCTTGGATTATTAACAGTTGCAGCACACAAAGTGCCTGGAGATTGTGCTTGTCGTAATGTCTTATTTTGTGGATCCGATCAATGACAACTGATCACTGCAAAATATCTGCTGACCTGCTCCAGATCTGTGCAAGGTCAAGCTGAAATACTTATTCTGAACAAAAATATCAATGGAACACTTTTCCCATTTCCTCACAAGCTGAATTTATTTCTTTGTCTTTGGACACAGAAGGCCTTAAAAAAAATACTGCTCGCAAACTCTGTTAAGGAAGACTTCTTTGCTGAAAAAAATCCATCCATCTCACACGTGTGGTATATCAAGACTGTGAATAAGTAGCATGATTATTGCACAGGTGTGCCTTAGGTTGTCTATAACGGGCCACAATTCATTTTTATTATTTCTGACTTGGTACTTTTTTACTTTTACTTCCTTCAAAGATTTGAATCAGTACTTCTAGGTTCACCAGACCTTTTTTTTTTTTTTAAACAAGTCCGTTCACTTCTACATAAGTGTGAGCACTTCTGCAACCTCAGCTGAAAATAGTGTGATATATGTTTATTTTCATTGTGAAAGGCACTCCAAAACACACAGAAATGAACACTGACAATAAGAATGTTAGTGTGACCTTGTGACTTGATCTGCATCCAAGTTCACAGTTAAGATGAAGACTGTGACCAATGTAACAAAAACAACAGACCATAAATCAAACAGACAATCTCAAAGTTGCTTTGTTTAAATGCCTGCCACATTGCAAAAAGGCACACACCTCTGCCCATGCTCAAGTGACATTTCAAAATGCAATACGTGGAATTAACTCTAAAAGTGCATTTCTGGTATACCTGTGATACAAAGTCTATCAAACCAACACTGTGGATTGTTTACCAGTCGACTGCAGGGCACATATTAAGCCAGACAAATGTTCACACTCACATTCGCAGCGTGACTGAGTGGGAACTGAACCTACGCTGCATGCACTTGGAAGCGAAGCAAGTGAAGCACTCAACTAATACAAAATTATGGAAATGTAATTTGACACTGAAAGCAAGTCACTAACTAAATACTAATACTGTACTGTAATTAGAAAGCAAGAATATTGACACACTATAAAAAAATAAAAATAAAGGGAACAAAGTGTACAATGACCACAGCATCAGTCACACTACAGGGATACTATCCTGCTCTGTTTGGAAGCAATAACAATTGTGAAGCAATTTCACCGGCTTGTGTAAATGGGATCAACAGCAAAACCTCGATCAAGGAATGGTTTTGCAACTTGTGGCCGCAGACACCTTCCCTCGCCACATCCTTACTTGAAGAGTCACGGCCAGTTTTCTATTTTTACACTGCTAGCGTCATAGGGAGCACCGTATCTACGGCACTAATAAGTTGCTCCAAGATGGCTCAGCCATATGCGCTTTGGCCAGATGGTTTGTGGTGTCTCCTAGCATGTGCATTTAGGAGATATCAGGAAACAGGCCAGTACACCAGGAAAGATGGAGGGGCTGTAGGAGGGCAAGGGGGGGAACGGAGAGAGCATTGCTGGAGTTTCAAAAATTGACCTCCAGCAGGTTTCTGGTTAGCTTTTTTGTCGTGTTTTAGCAGAAAATTCGAAGGATGTCTTTTATATTGACGCAGTGCTCCAGGTATGGGTGAAAAGCCCTCAGTAGACCATTTGTCATCTCATCAGGGTCATATCAAGTCATTATACAGTGGAACCTCGATTTAACTGGACAGAAAATAGCGTCCTGTCCACGCAGAATACAATAATCCCTCGTTTATCGCGGTTAATGGGGACCAAAACCACCCGCGATAAACGAAAATCCACGAAGTAGCGACACCCCACCCCGTAAAGGTACATGTGTATGAGTATAAATAATATTTATAAGGCCAAATTTAATGGTATACATGCATGTTTGTATCAATTAACATTACTTCATGCTATATACAGTCAAACCTTGGTTTTCGAACATCTCGGTTCTCAACCAATTTGGTTTTTGACCAAAAATTTCGAGTTTTTTATGCCTCGGATGACAAACAAACTTCGGTTCTCGAACGAACTGAGTGCACTTGAATGCACCATTTGACTCCTCTCGCCTTCCTTACCCGAGGAAGTGACGCTTCCTCGTGTTGCTTTCCATTGTGAGCAGACGTGTTCAGTAAAAATTATTTCAAAAAGAGCGTGGTTTCGGTTTTCAAACAATTCCGGTTTTCGAACAGCCTTCTGGAACGGCTTAGGGACGAAAACCGAGGTTTGACTTGACTAATATATTTAAACATGTATAAGTTAGGTTAGGTTAGCGTATGAATAACAAAATACAGTAAACATATACATGTAGTACTTACTGTATATGTTGGTCTATGTGACTCGCTGTTTTGCTGACTTACGCTGCTTCTCGCGGATCGTTTGCGGAATTTATTTATTTATTTTTTATGAATATGTTTGAAAAAAATCCGCGATGCACTGAAGCCGCGCTAAACGAAGCGTGAAATAGCAAGGGATCACTGTACAATCTTCTTTGTACAGTACCTTTCAAACTCTGTTAGTTCCGGAATTGGCTGCAATTGGCCACGGCGCCAATAAACAGCGCTGTTGCAGCATCAACAGACAGAAACTGCTCACATATTTCCAACTTGCGCTGCTCTCATCACAGACAACAGACGTACATACCCCTTTTCCACCCCCCAAAAAAACTTGGTGCACGTTCGGTGCCAGGGCCAGTGCTGTGCTGAGTTGGTGCTTAACAAGTTTTTACAAAGAGCCAAGTCGGAGCTACGTCATTCCGTCATTGTAAAGCATCCAAACGACACTGCTTCTGTCAACGTTTAGCCAAGAGCGGCTGCGCCATTAATAATAATGCGCTGTAAGCATCTGCTAGGCAACATAAGATAGCATTGATTATACTTGGATGTAGTATGTAACAGTCAGAAGATGTAATCAGCAACGCTTATATCTTTATTAATCGTTGTAGAAGATTGCGAGGTTGGCTACAGCGAGAGCCAATTTTGGTGGGGAGGAAGAAATAACTGGTGCTAACCTGGGTAGTGACTTGGAACTAGCATTAGCACAAGCATGGTGGAAAAAGGCCAACAGTAGACTAGAGCAGGCTGAAATGGTTGCCAATGTTGCGGCCATGTTGGCAGTGACAATTTTCCCAGCAAAAGCAATGCATGTGCATACTATATGTAGCGGTAATGAAAAGCCTGGACATTAGCTTAGCATTTTTTTTTTTGGAGGGGGGGGTACTGTTGTTTTTTTGGTGGGGAAAGACCTTATCTATCGCATTTAATCGTAATGAAGGTGAAATAGGCATGTGTTAACATCGTGGCTCATGACTGCGATCAGATAGACGCCATTATCCTCGCCCCAAGCACCACCACCAAGGTGAGTTTGAGTAAACTTTTCATTCAGTTTCGAGCCCCCCCACACATATATTTACAGTAATTTTGGACTGTAGTGGGTATTTTCAGGCTATGGAAAAACGTACAAAACAATAACTTTTCACTGTAGTGGGTGGTTTTAAGAGCACAAAAAAAAGCACTTTGATGTAATGGACAACTGGCTCAAACGGACGGACCCCTTCCTCCAATTAGCCCGTCGGATCTAGGTTCCACTGTATGACGCAACATGGCAGCCATGCATACATCTTTACTACCAGAGAGACTTAGATATTGAGTGATTTGAGTATGATTCTGTATCCAGTCTTTTGTGGCGTTCGGACTTGTGTTCCAGGGATCATTCCGACGACATGTTCTTCATTCAACATCATCAAAGGATTTTCATCTGGAATATATGTGTTCCCATTATTTTTTTGAAAATGTTGTTCTGCTTCGTTAAGAGCAAACAGAGAACAGAAGTAATAGTATCCTTTTGGGATTACCGAAGACTTGAAATGAACATGCAACATCAACACTGGCACATAATTTGTCACGTCATCTACAAACCACAGGCTTGTCCTGTAAACGTTCTTACTGTGGCCTATAGCCACCAAGCTGTGGCATGTAACTGGAGAGGGACTGGCCGTCTGCAAGTGTTTTCTGCTCACTGTCTTCTCCCGAGGGACACATGTCCAGCTGCAACAGGACCTCCTGTGGCTCCACCTCCAGCTGGTTCAACTCAGGAAAGCTGCCATTGTCTTGGTTCCATGCAGAGTGTGAGAAGCAAGGCACTTGTGAGAATGGTTGGGAAGCTCCGCTGCCCTCCTGCACTAAAAGGTCCGGGTTCTCCTCAGAGTCCAGAAGTGGCTGTGTGGACTCGGAACGGGAGAAAATGAGCTGCTGAGGTTGGGCGCTTGGGGTCTGGCCTTTGTAACCATTCGAGGCCACCACTGAGGAGTACTGAACAGTGCTGGCTGTGGTGTCAGCAATGTCAGCACCCTCATCGCTGTCAGACACACTCTGACGAGGTGAAGACATGCAAGAGGAGCCTCCGATGCCACTGCTGTGCTCCTCAGACAGATACTTGTCCTTCTTGAGAGCCAGGCTCGTTTTGTCTTCCTCAGACACCGATTTCCCATCACTTACGTCCACATCAAGCACACAGATGCCAGACAGAAAGTTCTCCTTTGGTGTCTCTGGCTGTGGTGGAATGGGAAGAGACAATCTTAAAAACAGCAATGGCGCAAGATTCTGTGAAATGTATAATGCATGTTACATTCCTTCCGGATAATCCCCGCACTTGACGAAATTTACCAAATTGTGACAAAGTCTCAATGGTATTATTTATAGATAGCTTTCCGCCCCCATCAAATAATATGAGGTGTAGGTAGTATTAATGGCCACCTGGAGTCACCATTCACTCATTCTACACTGCAGCAACGATGACTGTGAATGAGTGTTTGCCTTTAAAAGGCAGGTCTGCTCTGTTGAGTGACAAACATTAGCACTGGCCGGCTATTTCCTCACTATGGCATTTGGCTCTGTGGTGACATTATTAGTTGAGACTACCTGCAGGTGTGCTAAGAATGTGCTTCCGATTTATTTTTTTTATTTATTTATTTTTTTTTTACCATTCGTTTAATAAAGTGACAGAAAGAGAACTGGCAGCTGTTTACATCCTCCCTCTATCGATACTGACTTTTATGAATTACAATTGGTTCCATCTATTCAGTTAGCAAACAATGTTTATATGCAGATGAGTAGGCCGTACAGTACCGTACTGTACAATAGGAATAATAAAAAAAAATCAGTGATGCACAGACTGTACATTTCAATATGACATCGAATGTTAAACGTTGTGATAGTTAATTATAAATATTTAAATGTTTGTGGCACATATGAAGCACAACAGAATGCCCTTTTGTTCTTCACTAAAATTAGAATGTATAGTGTGTTTTTTTTGTTTTGAAGCGGTAATATTAGAGCTGTCAACATAATACATATTTGTATGCTTACATGACAAAATGTTAATTAATGTAAATACGTTTACAGTACTGAAAACATCGCCTGCACAGTTTAAGTGTTTATAATGGAATTGGAAACTGGATTATACCAATTACCGGTATTTTAATAACAGTCCTTACTTTTAAAGGATAATCAGGGGACCAGTTTCTAATGGTGCTCTTTCTCGGGTTTGGGATCCAAGGCCATAAATTCTTCCTGATTCTATGGGAGAGGAAAAAGATGACAATAAAATCGCTGCATTAGGGCTTGACATCAACACAAGGGATCAACATTTCAGCAAGTGAACATGAAAGAAAAAGAAATATTAAGTCTAATATCAATTTAATCTACCTCAAACTTTTTTGTTCAAATTATTTTGCTCACTTAAAATGATACCTTTTCATTTGCAAAGAATGCTAAATTGTGTGTCAGATCCAGAAAGAAAAAAATAAAAGAATAAGCATCACTGTTGTTTACAATGCATATTAGCTAAGTGGTTTGGATCATTCTGCTAATCAGACAGTTTTGTCAAGCTCTGGCAGTAGCGTCTGAGAGGATTAGAGAAAAAGTGTCTCCTTTTTAAGATGTCATCACTAAAAGACAGAACTCCTTCCTTATTCCTCAAAGACATGCAAACCGTCGTCCTCCACTTACACGTCTTTTTTGTAGATGCACAGCAACATGGTTAAGAGAACCACAAAGAGAAAGCCAAGACTCACTCCAACCACAATCATCTCAATGTCCCCCGGTGCTGTGGGAAACAAACAACATTTAAGGACAATTCTACCACAGATCTGACAAACTCAACGAGCCACAGCCGTTGTCAGCTACTACATGTTGGAAAAGTAAATACTGTATGAGGAGTTCAAATATGGGCGACCAGGTGGTTGACTGGTTGGCACGTCGGCCTCAGAATATAGAGGTGCTGGGTTCGATTCCGCCTTCCTGTGTGGAGCTTGCATGTTCTCCCCGTGCCTGCATGGGTTTTCTCTGGGTACTCCGGTTTCCTCCCACATTCCAAAAACATGCATGGCAGGCTGAATAAACACTCAAAATTGTCCCTAGGTGTGAGTGTGAGCACAAATGATTGTTCGTTTCTGTGTGCCCTGCGATTGGCTGGCAACCGGTTCAGGGTGTCTTTCGCCTACTGCCCGAAGACAGCTGGCATAGGCTCCAACATGCCCTGCGAGGCCAAAGTGCTAACCAGTCGACCACTGGACCGCCCGCTACGTTTTCAACATAACTTAATATGATCACTTGTAACACTTCAAAATCATACTGAGTGCAAGGTTGTTTGGCTAGCATGAGCAGAAATGTAAAAAAAAATTGCACAAATACAGTTCAGCCATTACCTCATCAGCTTACGTGCCAACAGTCACTCAATGGTAGAAAGCTTCAGGACTTGATTGTGATTGGTTAATCAGGATCCAATCATTAACTAGCAGTGCTTACATCATCAAAATTCAGCATATTTACTGGTCTAGAGATGAAAATATGTCACGAAAGCAGGCTGTGGGTCCCATAGACGGCTGGGGTCCCACAGTCGCCGCTGCTCTCTGCGCTATACAGCAGTTGAGCAGGTGAGTGATGTCATAGCCTTGCGACGCAGTAGGTAACTGACGTAATAATCATGCGACACAACTAAACGATACTTACATTAGTTACCGACACTTTTAAATATGGATTTTTATCAATATCATCAATTCTTTGTCGCAGCCCTAGAAACTTGTTATACTTTTTCACTGTTACATAGATTTGGACAATCCATGATACGTTAAGTCGCATCATGCTATTACGTCATTTAGTGGGCACCCGCAAACATCAAAAGTTAGACAAAGTCAGCCGGAAAGGCAAAATCAAGCCAACCAACGCAGCAAATATGCACTCATTAGCCATGTTAGCATGTTTGTTGAGTGTCTGATTGGTGTTCAATCAAATTGCTTGGTTGGAGCTCACAGTTTTATAATGAATGCAAATTTTTACACAAAATACACAAATGAAATTGGCTAATTTGCCATGGCAACACTGAGGACCTGGCCACAGCATCCTGGTTTCTGAGTAGCAGCATCAATATGAAAATGCGCTGTGGAATCTTCAATGTTTGCATTTATATTATCAATCCATTTGAAACAATATCCATTTCAATGTGGATAATCCAATATTTCTCTCATTTAAAGTAAATCCATAGCTAATCTATTTGAGCGGACTTTCAATGTCATGCCCGCTTCCACAAGCAAATTCACGAGGTGAAGCACCTCGAAACTGTTTGGACAAAGGTGATCCCACTTACCATATTCCAGGGTGGTAAATGAATGTTTTGTGCCATCGGTCGAGCCCCCATTGGTGGATGCCCTGATCCAGGCATCATACTTGGTGTTAGCTGACAGTGAAGTCAGGACATATGAGGTGACGGTCGCTGGTACGGTGATTGCTGCTGATTGGGGAAAACAGATTAATGGGAAGTTTTTAATACAAGAAAAGGATATGTACACTCCCCGACTAAAGACTTGGAAGACTGAAACTGTGGGTTTGACATCAAAAGAATATGTGACAAGTTCAACATTTCAGCTTTGTTCCAAGTATTTACAACTGAAGATGATAACATAACTTAATGTACATATAGTGAAACCCCAGGTGTTCACGGTTCGGGATTCACAAATTAGGATTTTTTTTTCGAAGCCTAACCTCTGTCATTCCCTGAAAATCTTGCCGTTTGTTATTTTTGGGCTCAGGTCAGAGCAATAAAGTATGACTCTGGCACCATCTGGTGGAATAGTGGTGTTAATGTTAGGTTTGATTTATTGATAGTGGGGGTTTTTTTCCTGGTTTTGGGAAGTCCTTCCAACTTCTTGACATTTTTGCATGATGGAAGATCCTGCCAATGAATTTGGTTGCAATTATTTAGTTACTGATTCAAAAGGAACAGCATGATTCTTTTGAATTGTGTTCATTTTGATGTGTGTCTTCAATGATGATTACTGAGCCCTGAGTGCAGCCATTACGAAAAGAAGATAATACCAAAAGCATAGTTAACTACTGACTAAACGAAGGAAGAAGGGGACAAGCTAGACTTCTAAAGATATTTACCCCCTTGTGGATATGAGCCCATGAGGTTTGTGTGTCTTTTTGTTGAAGCAATTAACTTTTGTCTTTAATTCATTGTTTTGTAATGCCATGTATTGCCTGTATTTCTGCAAAGGAATAAACCCTGTATTTATATGGACTTTGTGTCGTGCTTCATGCTGTCATCCTGATGGAGCTACATATCAAGATTCAGATTTCTTGGACATAGTATTTTAGATGTTCTGTAAAGCGCCTTGTTACAGCTGCAGTGGTTGTGAAGGCTCTATGTAAGGGGTCCCCAACCGCCGGTCCGCGGACTGGTACCGGTCCGCCGGGCATTTGGTACCGGGCCGCACAGAAAGAACTTGCCTTAATTCCGTTTTATTTATTTCGGAATACGAAAGATGTTTTATTTTGAAAAACTACCGGATTCTCCGTTACATCCGTCTGTGTGACGCTTGACACACGTCAAGCCACGCTTCTCCATCACGTGACCGATTACAGTACTTCAAAACAAAACGCAGGAGCTCGCAAAATGAGTTAAAAAAACTGCTGGAGATCGCAAATGACAGCGGCCTTAAAAGTACGTTCGAGACAACTTGATTAAAGTTATGGCTGAATACTCTGAGATGCCACAATAGCACTGTTGCTATTTCCGACATCCTACCTGTGTGAGGCGGGGGGTTTCTGCAGCAACGGCGACGAAAACAAAATTACGAAGTAGACTGGACATAAACCACACACTTGAGGTGTCATTGTCTCCGATTACCCCGTGATGGGACCGTCTGGTTGCAGAAAATCAAGCTCGGTGCTGTGGTGAGTCGTCATTTTCATGCACTTTGAATTTGCGTTGTATCGTATTTTGAAGACATTAAACATTGCCATAGCGATCGGAGTGTTGCGGCCAGATTAGACGCTCCTTGTGTTTATTATTATATTTCCATTTTCATGCAGCTCATACCATATTATTTTGTTGTATTATTTCCGCCACACCTTAAATGCCGGTCCCTGAAAATATTGTCTGACATAAACCGGTCCGTGGGGCAAAAAAGGTTGGGGGCCCCTGCTCTATGTAAATAAAGCTGTATTGTATTGTATTCCCTTTAGTATAGCTCATCTAGTGGATGCGTAGCACAACCGCAGCCACGACTGTAGCTTCTATTCTATGCCCTTATAATGTGGTGTGCCCTATGTATGAAGTTTTAAAACAGGCCATTCATTGAAGGTGCGCCTTACAGTGCACAAAATACGGTACTTACACTCTTACGAGTGACCCCTATTATTGCTACAGCCACACAAACGTCTGCGTTTTACGTTTCAATGTGTTTGAGGCGCAAGATGCGAATTTTGACTCTTGTACTGCGATGCAAATTCTCTTATTTCATGCTTGGCCCATGTCTCATATTCTTTTAACTTCCAACCAAGAGTTTCAGTCTAAAGCAAAAAGAAAAGACTGTTCCAATGCTTTTTGAGGGGAATGTGAAGAAACATGCAGAACTACTTCAAGAAGCCACCACAGATACATACAGCGTTTACTCCCACTTGAATAGAAAATTGTGTAGTTAGTGATGAAGCCTTGCTGTTCGTGTTGCGGAATTTCATTCCACACAAGCTTTGCTTGATTTCGTCCTGGTTTACCATTAAGTCGAACAGAGGGGCCTACCAAAGGAGCTGGAAAAAAAAAAGATATAAAGAATAGAGCATCAACAAACTCCTGTATAACCAAAATGATTTAGCGTTTTTATATCTGAGTAAACGTAAGACAAATGTCAGGCACAAAAAACTAATACAGTGCTGTAGTTTCTCTGTTGGGAATCCAGGTAAAATGAACTTTCATTCGCTTTTCTACGATTAAACAATTTTCCCCCCCCCCACAAAATTTAGAAATGATAGTTCTTAACCTGGGTTCGATCGAACCCTTGGGGTTCGGTGAATCCGTCTCAGGGGTTCGACGGAGCCTCTGCCATGGAGGTTAAGACATCCCGACACAACATGTCAATTAGTTATGACACGCCCGCTTGGCCATCACTGGCTGCAGATGATCACATTATATTGCTTGTCCAATCAGTGCTGCGGAAAATTTAGTTCGCTCAGTAGTCACCGTGTGATTGTCGTGATAGTACGTCGTAAAATTTACAAAACGTATACATGTCTTGAAATTGTATTTACTTTTTTCTGTTTTGAATAAATGCGTTTTTTTATGTCTTGAATTTGTAAAAAGTCATATTTTTGTTTTTCGCTAATGAAGGGTTCGGTAAATGTGCATCTGAACTGGTTGGGTTCGGTACGTCTAACACGGTTAAGAACCATTGATATATAAGGTGTAGTCACACCAGAAAAGTGCTTTGGTCGGACTTATTTTTTTTGGGGGGGGGGTGCAGTTCGCATTCATACTGTACTTTTTGCAAGTCGACTATGTTCCGTAAACACATTGACATGAGTTGCAAATCATTGTATTTAGTTTTAATTCATGTTTAAAACGATGTCCAAACTTTATCGGACTCAGCATTGCACGTCTTATAAGGACACACACCCTTAACCTAAACTTGTAACCTTCCAAGCAGATGTATGATCCTTTACCTGCCACTGCTTCTGTACTGTCGTCAGGACCGCGTAAACAAATGCACGCGGGGGATCAGTCACATGACGTCTGGAGCTCTCTTGGTTGTCAGAGCCTATTGTGTCTTCTTTCATGATCGAATCAAACTGTGGATTTTAACCCTTTCAAGCACCCTGTAACCCAGTGCTTCTCAATTATTTTCTGTCATGCCCCCCCTAGGAAGAAGAAAACATCTCGTGCCCCGACCCCTGCGACTATAAATAGTATAATTTGTCTATGAAATTGTTATAAGTACACCTCTGCGTAACACTGTATCCTTATTAACGTTTAAGGGAATAAAAAAAAAGAAAGAAATAGCTTTATTAACTGTAACAGAAAAGATTTAAAGTGCATCTGAAATTCAACAATAAAATTAAATCCTTCATATTGTGCTCCTGAGTTAATGCTGGTGAGCAGTTTGAATGCATTATTATTTATTGATTTTATATAATTTTAATTTTCAATCTCGTATGGTTTGACATGTTCAGTCAAAAAATGTTTACAGTTTAAGTAAAAAAAAATTTAACCTGCAAAACAAACATATATAAAATTTGTGCTGATTTTTTTTTTTTTTTTTTTTAATCAAAGATGATGTCTAGATTAATGGCTACAATGAGCATGTTTTGCAATGCACAGCTTTTCAAAGCGAGGTTTGAAGCAGGACACAGCAACTCTCAGCTCCTGCTCAATGTGTAGCTGGGACCTGTATTTTAATTTACTGAAGTAGCAGTCACAAAGCGGGATGATTGTGGGCAATATTCGGCACCTTTTCGCTGAAAAACGTCAAGCGGCTTATCAGCGTGATTGGTGTGTCGTGTCTTTAAGTGACGCCTTAATTCATTTGGCTTCATGCTGTCCGCTCTCTTTCCCCCCATCGTAGTCACAGTGAAGCCAAGAGCTACATACTCTTCGTCATATTTCCTCCCTTCGAATGCTCCCTGCGCACACTCTGCCAATGAGAGCGCCACTGCTCCCTAATGTAGTGGAGGTGCAACTGCACTTTATTCTAGGACAGGAAAAAAAATCTAAATAAAAAAATAAAAAAGCATGTTCCCCGAGGTCAAAAGTGCCCCCCTTGACCGAGCCATGTGAGGGGGGGGGGGGGGCACTATTTGAGAAGCACTGCTGTTGCTGATAACATGATAAACTGTCCAACTGTCCTCTGTACTAACCACTGTCCCTGAAAGGGTTAACAGGAGGAGGTTCCAACGCAGTGTTTCTCCTTGTTTAGAGGTTCTGTCAGGACAGTGCACTGTACTGTGTCACATTCGATTTCTGTGTTAAATGAAAACTTGCACGTTGTGTCAAGTCTACTGTAATATAATGAAACTGACATTGTCATCCCACAGCTAAAATGCAAACCTGATCTGAACTGTCCTGAAATGGACCTCCTGGTGAAAGTGTCAATTAGCATTTGAGACATGATCATGCAACCTTACCTCGTTCCTCAAGAAAAGCTTCTACTCTTGCTGGTTTTCCCGTCCATCCAGAGTATATGGGATATACAGATATGTTGTAGCAAATAAACTTCTCGATGTTGCCTTTGTGTAAGAGAGGTAAAGTGAAGCATGTTTTAATTATTGGAACAAGGTTACTGTGAGCAGAAAAACAGTTTCATTTAATGCCCTCACAAATTTATCAACGTGCAATATTCAAACAAATGCGCAGACTGAGTGGTCATCACTTAATGGAAAAAAAAGGAAGAAGGAAGTTACCTTTGATAGTAGTTTGCTGGGTGGTTTTGCTTTCCCTCTGCCAGTCCATGTCATTAGCACTAACCCACTGCACAACATATTGTGTCACAGCTGAATTGTTGGGAGGATTCCATTTGAGGAAAAATGTGTCCCCTTGTGGGTGCACTTTAAATCCCTCCACTGGGTCACGATCTGAAATGTATACTACAAAATGAGTCTTCCTATTGACATTTTTTGGCAAAATAATAAACAACATGAATGCAAATTGATTTTAAAGCAAGTACAGTTCTCGTAGTCGGAAGTGGTACAAACAACCATAGTGAGTATCATTTTATTTCATAGAGAAACCATACAGAAGAGCATTACAGTACAATATTTATTTCTGACGCCTTTATTCCACTTAAATTTAACAGGACCACATACCAAGCGCTCTCTCTGGGATACCGATTGATGCCTGAGGAGACTCCCCCGCAGAATTGATGGCGGTGACATACACTCGGGCACTTATGTTGTCCGGCAGGGTCATCTGTTTTAAGACGGTGAACTTGTGGCTACGGAAGCTGTCGACCTCTGGCTCCTTGACAGGAATATTCTCCCACGACATATTTCTATTCATCATGTCATCTTTTCGGGTTTGAATCTTTATCTTGAAGCCCGTTATCTTTCCATTTGACAACACAGGATTCTGTCGTGGCAAAGTAAGAGATTGTATGTAACAATAATATCAGGGAGAAAACTCCTGCAGAGAGGATCCAATGATTTGACAGTAAAGTGCAGTCAACTTAAAAACATCCTTTTGTGGGATTGGGAAACAGTTCGAGTTTAGTAACAATTTCTACAACCGTTGATTTTGTATCCATTTATATAAACACATAATGGCAAATCTTCGAGCAATAAACACAATGTAAAATGTTCACTCTCTAGCACGTACACACTTCCAACAATAGGTGCATTTTAAATAATACTTAGACGAGGGGTGTCAAACTCATTTTTGTCACGGGCCACATTGTAGTTACGGTTTCCCTTGGAGGGCCGCTATGAATTTTGGGAAACCATATTAAATGTTCAATCACCTCCACATATTACATATACAGCGCACAACAAATTGATGGATAACTAGTTTTAAAATCACAAGTCAAGAATAATGACTGTTACTGTGGATTACATATGACAATTTGAAATTTTGGTTCAAACTTTAGCAAGCATCATGGAACTTGACATGCTTGATTTGCTTTCGCGGGCCACATAAAATGATGTGGCGGGCCAGCCTTGACATCTGTGACTTAGACCTTTATGACACGGTTATTTAATTGGGTTTGAGCTGAATGAGATTATGGAACTTACCTTACAAATAAACTTGACCTGACGCTCATTGACACGTTCTGTAATTATGTTCCATAAATCTGGTTTACTTGTTGGTCCTACGCCGAAGGAGAAGAGAAAATTATAGGTTTCAGCAGGATATCATTAAAATTCCTGATGAACAGGTGTGATTGTTATAAAAAAAAAGAGGTTTTGTTTTCTTTAATTGAGGCAATTCATTTCTTTGTAAATGTAGTCTTGCAAATGTAGTAAACCCATTATATTCTAAATCATCACCCATGATACTCACTATATGCGTGTGTTTTCTCGGTCACGTTAGCACTCCAATTGCTCCAATACCCATATCCCTTGTTGGCATGTTTACAGCGCACCTGAGTGGTATAAACTGTATCAGGTTGGAGGTTTTGGAGTCTAAAGGACTCAGCCTCTTTGGTAATAAGAACCATAGGTACCTAAATGACAAAGAAAGGAAAAGAAATTAACTTCAAAGCTCGAAACCTTTTCTATTGTTACATTTAGCCCTAAAAATGATTCACGGCTCTAGAAATAAAAAAAAATACACTTACACTAATCCAATTGTGAGATCCATTTAGGCAATACCGGATTTGGTATTTTAACACAATCTTTTGTTTAGGAATTGGATGTTTCCAGTTTATGAGAAGGGATGTGGGAAATGATTCCTCTGAAAAGACTTCAACACTTGATGGAGGGTTTGTTTTGGCTGAAACAAAAGAAACAGAGTTCAGATCCTAAATCATCATCATTTTCTCTTGTTTAGTTATCAACAACATAGACACAAAAAGTAACGGTTATTTGGCTTTTGGGTGAAATCCCACGATGATAATAAAATGCATTTCCTTTAGAAGTGAACTTGATTTGTCACTCCCTCAACTTCTGAATGACATGGCACTGTACCTGATCAATGTTTCGGCATTTTTGTACAAACTGTGCTTCTCTAACAAGGATCTGAAGTCCTTTTAATCATGCTCTTAATAGTTTGGGATCTTGAGACCAAGATGACACCCAACAAATGATCAACAGTACTTTGCCACTACGTGGTTTTAAAAAGGATATTCTCAGAGAATGGGTCCGGTGATTTTAGAGTGTCAGAGGTTACAACGCAGATACAGCGAGACTGGAAGACTCACAGAAAGGTGTAGAGTACCGGTCACCAATGTGGTGCCCACCAGCACCAGGTAGCCCCTGAGGACCACAACAAGAGTAGCCTGTTCTAAAGATAGTTCACGAGTGATGGGGCAGTGCTATTTTTTTTTTCAAGAATGTCAAAGAAAAGATCATTCGAAAATGTAAACACTGGCCGATATTAAGGGTGTGCAAAAACAAAATCAATTCACTCAACTATCGGGATTTTATATGCCGAGATTCAATAAATCAATGTCAAAGTTCAAAATCGAATCTATGCTGTTCTTCACTCCCCATGTGGGTCTGTTATTTTTACAAACTAATTGTAAGTGTTGAAAAGTGCCTTTTCTGTTTGATGAGTCAACATTAAAATGCCATTCTTTTTTTGTTTCTTGAAAAGTGATGGTTTTACTGATGCAAAGATTCTGCCCAATGCCAGCAATTACGATGGAGCAGTTTTTTTCTGTACGTATCCCCATATCCGTGCCTCGAGACAATCCTGTCCTGGAGGTCTTTGGACAATCCTTGGGCTTCATGCTTCAACTGTGAGGTATTATACTGAATACACATATGTATATCGTTCTAAAGCATGTCCAATCAATTGAAATCATGCAGAGATGAAAGTGGACTTTTCTGAAAATTCCGGAATAAATAAATAAATAAATAAATGTGTGTGTGTGTGTGTGTGTGTGTGTGTGTGTGTGTGTGTGTGTGTGTGTACACAC